ACAAAACCTCTTTTAAAATACAGTTTGTATTAAATTTATCAACATATACAATTTTCATTAATTTTCATACAAGTACTAATTTTATTAACTCACATAAGTTCCAGATTTTCATATAATAGTCTTAGTAACTCATACAAGTAATAATTTTTCATACAAGTATTAAATAAATAATTGTTTATTAATTCACATAAGTTCTTAATTTTCATAGATATTCTCAATGTGCAAAAAAAGTCAAGTAAATATCTAAAGTTTCTTGCATGCATTATCTTGATGAAATTTTATATTTATCAATTTCAAATATTTTTTTTTATATGTATATTTTCGGTTCTGCTAAAAAATTTTCATACAACTATTAGCCTTTTTAACTCATAGAAGTTATGAGTTTTCATATTAGTATAAAATTTATTACCTCATACAAGTTATAATTTTTCATACAAGTATTAAATTTAGGAACCCATATGAGTTCAATCGTTTTCATACAAGTAATTATCTTATTAACTTATTCAAGCTATAATTTTTCATATAAGAAAAAACTTTATTAATTCATAAAAACTATATATTTTCATATAAGTATTAAATTGATGAACTCATATAAGTTCATCAGTTTTCATACAAGTAATATCTATATTAACTCATGAAAGTTATAATATTTGATGTAAGTAATTGCTTTATTAATTCATGTAAGTTAGTTTCATTAGTTTTCATATGCCCAATTGTTTCTTAATTAAGTTTCAAATTTTCATAGATTTTGTCAATGTACAAAAAAAAGTCGGGTAAATATGTAATGTTTCTTGCATGCATTATTTTGATGAAATTTCATATTTTTCCCATACATTTTCGATTCATAGAAGTTTTGAGTTTTGAATAATTTTTCATATAAGTAATAACTTCTTTAGCTCATAGAAATTATAGATTTTCATATAAGTATTAAATTGATGAACCCATATAATTTCATTAATTTTCATATATGTTCATCAGTTTTCATATAAGTAACTTATTAACTAACTACAAGTTATATTTTTTCATATAAGTAATAACTTTATTAAGTTATAGAAATTATAGATTTTTATACAAGTATTAAGTTGATGAACTCATATAATTTCGTTAATTTTTATATAAGTTCATCAGTTTTCATATAAGTAATAACTTTATTAACTCATAGAAATTATAGATTTTCACCTATATCAAAATATGAGTTTTCATAAAAAGTGGACTTAACAACTTTTTTCAGTAAGTCAAGCATTTTTAAGCAATTTTTTTATATATTTATGTGGGTTCGTTATCGTCCACTTGGCATTAATATACTTATTAGACAAACAATTATGATGAAATCAAGATCAAGGTTATTCTTATATTAATAAATAGATGAATAGGCTAATATATTAATGTTTTAAAAATCACACCACAACTTGGGGCTTATCAGAGAAATTAAATATATATGTATAGCATAGAATTTTTTGTTTGGCTATTTTTAAATTCTTTTTAAATTGTCATTGATTTATTAAATGTGATTGACGTTTTGAAAGCCAGCTAATTTTTGAATTCTTATGCTTATTAGAGAGATGAAAATGTAGTATATAAACTTATCTCTTTATTGAGATGAGTTCTCATTTATCAAAGAAATTTGCTGTGCATAAGGTCCATTTTTATGAAAGGTTTTAAGTAAATTATATAAACATATAAAGATTAAACAAAGGATGAAGGTAAGCTTTTACTAAAAAGATCTAATAATAATAGAAAAAATGTTTTCTAATTTTAAAATATATATACATATATACATATACAGGCAATTTCTGTAAATCGAACGATTTGAAATCGATATGACTTGCTAAATATTGATCATTATTTCTGATGAAAAGATTGAATATTTTATATAAAAAATATAACAGAAACATCAGCGATGTTATATCATCCATACCAATACCAAATTATGAGTTTTATGATTAAAAATCCATAAAAATATTTCTAAAATCGTATCGATTTCAAATCGAACGAATTTCAGAACATAACTGATATTCAATTTTTTATATACGTTTATAGACTGAATTTTATATAAATGGAGAACCTATGGAATGGAATATCTACTGAAGGTGTAGAATCGCGTGACCTACAGGTGTTTTGTGACGAGATACCTACAAATCCTATTCCTGAAGTAGAATATTATTGGACAGGAAAAAAATATCTTATAGTATATTATGGACATCAATATTTTAAATTAAAACCCCGTGTGGTACGGGAAACCCCAAATTTATTAATAAACAATTAAAATAAAAAAAATAAATATAATGAGGTTTTTTATTGATTTGAGTCAAAATGAATTTGTAAATACAGAGTTTTCTCGGAAACTACCTAATAATGATACTATAAACATAAAACTGAACTTTAAACTAATGAAATGGACTCAAAGTGATCAAAATGGATTAAAAGAGGACGTAAATAAAACATCTATCATTGAAACAACATCAGAAGCACCTACATCTAATCCGAAAAAGTTATTCACAACACAGGAAGCCATAGAAGCATTTAGACAAGATCTAATATAAAAAGAGAAAAATATTTCAGGAATAATTGAGATATGTGGATAATATTATGCTAAGAATTCGTTGTATATATGATAATGATTTCCTTCAACGCAAACTGAATATTTCTTGTTTTAAGTATCGTCAGGTTGCATTCGAGAAAATTTTAAGTAACGGTGAAATTGAAATTGTTACTGGAGATTATACTACACTGCGCTCAGATGTCACATTAATTGATATTAAAAGTTATAAACATGATATGAATATGGAAATTTCTTAACTTTTAATAGAATGAGATGGATTTATTATATAAATATGACATATAAAAAGAATGTAAATGTAGTATATAACAAGTAAGAGCAGCGCTGTCTTCGGCTATGCCGAAGGCTTCATACCTTTCATGAACATCTGCAAATTTTACTTTGACAGATTACTGCTTTTGAGTACATCTGCATACATCGATAGAGGAGTTACATACCTATATAAAAAATCGCATCTGAACAAACAGAGGTATGGAAGATATACCTTATATTAGCACCAATCTAAGTGATTTTCACTGCTATGTGATCGGTATGTAAACCGACACAATTTATTGGGTTTAGTTTCCTACATAAAGGAGATATATCGCAAAAACTGGTATCTGAACAATCAGTGCTATAGGAGATAAAGCTTATACAGCATAGATTTTGACGATTTTCTCAGTAGACTTTGTATTATTATTTATAAAATATCTTACGAAATTTATCGGTTTTAGCTGTTCAAATAAAGGAGTTTTACAGTAAAAACCCATATCTGAACAATCAGATGTATGGAAGATATATGTTGTAGTCACCCGATCCTTGTTATTTTCACTGTAAGTATTCTGTTAATAATGAGTGAAAATGGTGCGAAATTTCATGTTCCTAGCTGCATAAATGCATGAATTATAACGAAAATCTCATATCTGAACAATCAGTTGTATGGGAGCTATAGGTTATAGTTATCCGATCTTTTTAATTTTCACTGTAAATTTTCTGTTGATAATTATTGAAAACAGTGCGGAATTTCCTGTTCCCAGCTATATAAATGGAGGAGTTATAACGAAAAATTTTATATCTGAACAATCAGTTGTATGGGAGCTATAGGTTATAGTGAACCGATCTTTGTAATTTTCACTGTAAGCATTCTGTTAATAATGGGTGCAAGTGCTGCAAAATTGCATGTTCGTAGCTGCATAAATGTAGAAGTTATAACGAAAAATCTCATATCTGAACAATCAGTTGTATGGGAGCTATAGGTTATAGTGACCCGATCTTTGTAATTTCCACTGTAAGTATTCTGTTGATAATATGTGCAAGTACTGCAAAATTTCATGTTCCTAGCTGCATAAATGGAGAAGTTATAACGAAAAATCTCATATCTGAACAATCAGTTGTATGGGAGCTATATGTTATAGTGGTCCGATTCTTCCGGTTCCGACAAATGATTAATACATTATAAAAATACACCCACTTACCAAATTTGATCCGGATATCTCGAAAACTGAGAGACTAGATTGCATACAAACAGACAGACAGACGGACAGACGGACAGACGGACAGACGGACATGGATAAATCAACTCAGCTCGACGTTCTGATCAAATAAGTATACATTTTAATGGGTCTATCTCTTTTTGTTCTGGTACTTACAAACATCGGACCAAAGTTATAATACCATTTCATGCTCATGAAAGGTATAAAAAGATTAATTTGATATTTGGTTTTCATCATTCAGCGGAGTGTAATCGATTAGTTAATAAGATTTGTGGCTCTAATATATACTTATGTTTGCAATTATTTAAATAGGATTTCATTAGATTCTAAAAAAAAAATTATAAACCGTTATAGAAACTCATGACTATTTTTTAAACGAATTTAAAAAAAGTTTAAGCTATATAATGTCAGAAGAATATACGTTGGTTATAGATGTTCAGGGATTCTATTTTAATAGGAAATTTATTGCTAAAGAAGTCAGCATATCAACATATGATTCATATATAACAACGTTTCTTATTCAACCTCCTTTTGAAGAATCTAAGTCGACGATACGGTATAAAACAACTAATAACTGGTTATATCATAATCATCATGGATTAAAATGGGAAGATGGTGATTCGACTTTAATGACTGTTATTGAATATATCCATACATTAATGAAAAGAGAAAATTAAATATTCTATGCTAAAGGATGGGGGAAAATCAGATGGATTCAACGCTTATTCGGATACGATATTATTTTATATAATTTAGATGATGTAAAGCAACAATAATTTTTGTTGCTGATGCAAAACCAACAACGAGTTTACAACTTTACCTATGTATTTAATAACGACGGTGCGGCGATGCGCTAATTGAAAAGAGATGCGATGCTGGCTGTGGTCTACGAATGAATAACAAGTACTAATTTATTTAAATTCAAGATAGCCTTAATACTAAGAACAGTGTTGCTTACTGACTATTAATTACGCTGAGTGTTTTGTACTAAATACAGTACGACTAATTAGTGACAATTCAATGCTGGCCAAACATTCTGGGCCCGTTGATGCGTATGTATCAATAACATTTGATTTAAATTTTGTGGGTGCCTATGCATCCAAATAAGAAAAAAAGGTATATTATAAAATTGATTTTGTATGCTTCTTGCATGTTAGCTCATTACAGGAATCTAAGTTCAAACCTTATGGGTTTTTATTTTTAATAATAAATATTAAAAATTTTAAATACATATATTGTAATGAAATTCATTTTTGGTATTAATTCTCTGTTTTTTTTTTTTTTAATTAGTTTAATGGTAATGGTGCCAACTTATGAACAGCACGCTTGATGACACCATTGCGTGTTTTTATGTGGGCAACACGGACCATACCATCTTTGCCAGCAACGACACTCGTAACCTTGCCCATAAGCCATCTTTGGGGTGGCATGTTGTCCTCGTGGACGAGTACCACTGTGCCAATCTCTATATTGATTTCGGGTTTTACCCATTTGGCCCTGGCCTGAAGTTCTAAAATGTAATCTCTGCGGAATGCAGACCAGAACTGCCCTTTCAGGTAAGCGATACGTTGCCATCTTTTTGAATAAGTCATGTTTTCCGTTTCTACGGTGGGCTCGGGAATGGCTTTTAGAGAACACCCAATCAGCAGGTGTGCGGGTGTGAGTGCTTCTCCATCGCTGGGATCTGTGGACATTGGTGCGATAGGCCTTGAATTCAGGACTGCCTCTACCTCGACGAGAACGGTACATAGTTCTTCGAATGTCAGATTGGCGTTTGCGACGGTGCGATAGAGCAAATTTTTTGTTGACTTTACGGCCGCCTCCCACAGACCGCCGAAATGAGGTGCGCGAGGCGGAATGAACTCGAATTGGACTCCTTTCTCTGCCACGAAATCTAACATCTGCTTTCTGCTGACCTCGTTGAAAAATACGTCGTGAAGTTCCTTCATCTTGGCATTGGCTCCCACGAAATTTGTTGCGTTGTCGCAGACGACCTTGTGCGGCAAGCCTCTCCTTCCGATAAACCTTTTAAAACAAGAAATAAATGAGTTAGTGGTTAAGTCGGAAACAGCTTCGATATGAACAGCTTTGGACGAAAAACAAACAAATACAGCTATATATGTTTTATAAGGGGGTCGACCACGAATTCTATATGACGTGTATATTGGACCGCAAAAGTCAACACCAGTTACCCAGAACGGTCTAACTGACAATAAACGATCCACCGGTAAATTTCCCATGACTTGTGTCAACAACTTGGGTTTATATTTAAAACAGTGTGTGCAATTGCGTACTACTTTTCTCGCAATTTCTCGAGCATTCACTGACCAAATTTTTAGTCGCATCAGCGCGATGAGCGCCCTTGGGCCTGCGTGGCAGTTTGTTAAATGCAAGTGAGTAGCGTACAAGTATGCAAATCGACATTTCGGAATGAGGAGTGGGTGTTTCGTATCATATGACAATGAAGAGTTTTGTAAACGGCCACCTACTCGGAGTAATGTAAAATTTCTATTGCCTTCGTTACATTCTTGGACGAACGGATTGAGTTTTTGAATCTGCTTATTTACCGACGACGAATTTTTTAGGCATTTAATTTCATTTTCGAACTCTTCATGTTGTATTACTTCGACAATTTTTAAGAACGACATTTCAAGTTCGTTGGCGGTAATTTGAGGCTCTTTTTCTGTTGGACTGAGAAATCTATATACATAGGCAAGTATTCTTACAATTTTTAAGTAAGTCGAACAATTTTCTATTAGGGTGTTTATGATACAAGACTTTTTCGATGATAAAAGTACTAAAGGCTTGGCTTTTCTAATTTCCAGGTTCTCCATATCCTCCGGCGGTTTGAAATGCGGGTTATTTGGCCAATTATCTTCGCCTTGCGTTAAAAATCTGGGCCCGTTAAACCATATTGATTGACGCATTTCATCCACAGTGCAACTTCTGGAGGCAATATCGGCTGGGTTATGAGCGGTTGGTACATGTTTCCAAATTACATTTTCTGTCCATTCCTGAACATCCGCTACTCTATTCCCAACGAAAACTGATAATGTGGATGGATGTTTTTTCAGCCAATATAACACTATTTCCGAGTCAGTCCAAAATACAGTTTTCTCGGTATTTGGGAGTAATATTGGCGCTATATTTTTCCACAACTTCGCCAGTAAGTGCACAGCGCATAACTCAAGCCTCGGTAGGGTTTTCGTTTTTAGTGGAGCGACCTTCGACTTGGCTGTAAGAAGTATAGATTTATAATTATTTTTGTAACCGCTACGAATATAAATACAACAACCATAAGCGCGCATGGATGCATCTGCGAAACCATGTACTTGTATTTTCGACGACGACAAAATGTTAACAAAACGAGGAATGCGTATTTCGGGAATTCGTTTAATATTTTCTTTAAAATTATCCCAGCTTGTAGCCAGCGACATCGGAATTGATTCGTCCCATTCCAATTTGTGAAGCCATAGCTCCTGCAAAATCATTTTTGCTTTTGTTATGATTGGACATAGCAGTCCTAATGGGTCGAAAAGTCGAGATGACACTGACAATATGTTGCGCTTAGTGGGATGTAAATTATTAAAATCGTTACTACAGCTAAACCGAAATTCGTCAAGTTTAGGATGCCAAATGATTCCTAAAGTCTTTGTTGTTTCAGTATCGTTCAGAGATATTGTTTTTTCCGAAATGCTATTACTTTCTAGGAAATCATGGTTCGAATACCATTTTGCTAGCTTGAATCCAGCTGAGGCAAGAATTTTTACTACTTCAGTTTGTATTTGCATAATTTCCTCTAAGGTTTCGCCACCTGACAATAAATCATCTACATAAAAATCTTCTTGGATCACCCTAGAACCAACAGGCATATTAAGTCGATTTATTTGTCCCAACTCGTCCAGACATCTTATAGCCAAGAATGGTGCTGGAGATGTACCATATGTGACTGTATTGAGCTCGTAAACCTTTATTGGCATATTCACTGTTTCTCGCCACAAAATCATTTGGAACTTTCTATCTTCTTCATGCACTTCCACTTGCCTGTACATTTTTGTAATGTCAGCCGTAATTGCAAATTTTCGACAACGAAACTTTAGCAGCGTAATATATAATTCTGGTTGGATAGTGGGGCCGACCATCAACATTTCGTTAAGAGATTTATGTGTGGAGGTTTTTGCTGACGCATCAAAAACGACTCTTAACTTTGTGGTTAAGCTGTCTAATCTCATCACGACTTGATGAGGTATAAAATAGTGTGGGCTAGATGGGACAATGTTCTTGACTTCCGTCATATGCCCTAGAGACAAATACTCCAACATAAACTCATCGTACATTTTTTTTGTATCAGGGGTCTTTGCAAGTCTACGTTCAAGAGATAGGTATCTTCGTTTTGCTACGTCATAGGATGATCCAAGCTCCGACGGATCTCTCTTGAATGGTAGACGAACTTGGAAACGACCCTTTGGCAGCAATTGCGTATTTTCCACAAAATGGTTTTCGCAATCAGTAAACTCCTTACAGGTATTCCTTTCAACCCCTGGGCTTTCTTCAATTTCCCAAAATTTTCTCACAGTCTCATCCAAAGATACCAATGATGCGTCGGTAATTTCATTTGCTATATTGCACGCTCCGGTTTCAATGCCGTTGCCTTGCTTGTACCGACCAGAAACTATCCAACCAAGAAGAGTTTTTTGCAATGTGGGTAATGACTCGTTTAATTTTATTTGGCCCACAGATAATAATTCGAAAAATATGTCGGCCCCAATGAGCAGATCGACTCTTTGTCGTTTATTAAACTGAGGATCTGCAAGCTCAATATTTTGTGGGACCTGCCAAGTGCTAAATTGAATGTTAACTTCGGGTTGGTAACTAGAAATGGATTTAATTACCCAAAAATCTGCCTGGAAATTATAATTATTTAGTCTGGATTTAACTGTGGTATTTACTTGGTGCCTCAAATTAGTGTTAAGTTCCCCAATGCCAGATAACTTGAGATTTTTAAATTCTCTCTTTAGCTGCAGATTAGCTGCACATTCTTCACTTATGAAGTTCAATTGCGAGCCAGAGTCTAAAAGAGCTCTTACCAAATGGTCATTTCCGCTGCGATCTTTAATTTTTACTAAGGCAGTGGCTAAAACTACAATGTCTGTGTTGCTCGATACGTGGTGTGACGAGCGATGGTTCGCTGAAGTAGTAGTAGGTGAGGAGGAAGATGGTTGCTCTGTGCCATTACTATTGAATGCACTCGAATTGCCTTGCTGAGTGTTCACTTCATACCTATGCAACAGGGTGTGATGGGGACGTTGGCAAACTCTGCAGTGCGATTTTGAGCAACTTCGTACCGAATGACCCGTTTTCAGACAATTTATGCAACTTCCTTCTTTTTTAATAAATTCGAACCGTTTGGTAATTGGCAGGGCAGCGAAGGAATTGCAAGTATACACTGAATGACCGTTGGTATGGCAAAATGTGCATTTACCCTCATTATTGCTTCTCGTTACTGTATACGAAGCCTTATTGTTGTTGTTGCTAAAACTGGCTTTACTATTTTTCTTTTTTTCAAATAAATTTTTATTGGAATGATCTTCATTCACTTCTAGGGCTTGACAACGACGAATTAAATGTTTGGAGCATTCGCTCCATGTAGGAAGTGTTGAGTAATCTAACTGCTCATTCCATTTTGACTTGGTAACCGAATCGACCTTTGAAATCACCAAGCTAATTATAAGGGCGTTAGCTATATCTTTTTCTGAGCCCATGGACAACAACGAATCGTAAATTGCTGACACAGTGTCGACTGCATTTCTCAGAGCTGGCGCATTGGGTTTGTTAATTTTTTCAATTTCAAATAATTGTTCTATATTATCAAAAAATATTAACCCCTTTTTGTCATATCGGTCAGCTAATCGCTCTAAAGCCTTTTCATAATTGGCTTCTGTAACTTGAAATGCTTTAATAGTTCTAAGTGCATCACCCGACAAACAACTAAGCAAATGATTGAATTTTTCTATTGGAGCTAGATGTGCCTCATTGTGAACTAAATTGTTAAATGAGCTTATAAAATTTTTGTACTCCGAATATTTTCCGCTAAATGACGGCAATTTTAATTTTGGTAGACGAGATGCTTGAGGCATGGTGATACCGAACGTCGTTTCCAAAGCTGAGCTCTCGCGTCGCTTATGCTGCCCCAAAAGCTGCAAGAGTTTTGTTTTTGCACTAATGCACGACTCTTCAATGTCACCCCTCCTATCATCACTAGGGTCCTCTTTCTCAATCTCCGTTTGATAAGCCATTATTTGCTTTATATATGAGCTCAAAATTTCTAGCCTGCATTCTAAATCTATAACGTTCCACGTAGTGGAGGTATTGTCCAACAAGTTTTTTATTCTTGTTATATTTTTGCGAGCAGTTGAGCGTTGCTGCTTTAGTGTAGCTAACTTTGCCGCTGAGTCATCCTCATCGCCTGAAACCATTTTGACAGATCTACTTTAAAACAAAAATGCTCAACGAACCCTTATATTTATTTAACAACAAATGATTTAAATTAAGGTAGCAAATTTATTTATATGGGAAAGCCAACGCACCCTGATATTCAGAAAGCTAAATGTCCAAATATTTGCTTTAACTTTGTATACGCATATAATTTTCTTCAAATTTTCTTGTTGTCTTCTACAACGTTCAAATCTCAACCATTCTCTGATTTACTTGTATGCCCTCATAAATTTAATGTTGGGTACATTAAATTTCGATTCAAAGAAACGACAAGGTCAATAACCATACAACTCAATAAATTTTTTATGTACTTGGGTTTTATGCATTTGAAGGTGAAGAGAAACAGTAAAATTACATGCCTACTATGTTAGCAATGCACTGTCTTTTTTTTGAAATTGAAAGCGAAGGTGGGGAATGGCAAATATGAAGGCAAGTGCACTAACTATTGTCTTCAGACAATAATGTATGTATATGGATCAATCACTTTGGTGGAGTGCAGCAGCAGTAACTACAGTTTCATGCACTTGTGTATTTTGCTATGTTCCTATACAATGCGGGAGCAGCAGAGAAATGAACGACGACAAAGTTCTGCTCACGTAGGTAGGTATATGCAAAACCAAAGGTCAATTGCCTAATATTTACATACGTACATATATATGTGGGTAGGTATGGATGAAATAATTTTGTGTCCCGTAAGAAAATTTTTAATGGGTAACTAAATGAACAAATTATGTTGCTAGCACTTCGCCTATGTACTTTTGATGAAGAAATTACAACAACAACCGAAATATTAAATTGTACAGCTGAATTGGGCACTAATGATTTGCCGACGGCAATTTAACAATTTATATACCGTTTAGTAGGGATTACTTTTTTAGCTATTTTTTTTTTTTTTGCCTTTTAAGAGAACGGAATTTTTTGGACTTCTTCGAAATTCAATATATAATTGGGATAACGCTTTTTTATACGGGGGATTTTCGCACTGCACTATAGGTACATAAGTAATTTCATTTCTACATTACCTCTACCATTTTTGTTTCTGACCTTCCTTTTGTGTCACCCATTCCTTTTGTTGAGTGTATTGAATCCAATTATATTTGTTGTTACCTTCCCTTTTATGTATCCAAATCCAATTTTATTTGTTGTGTCGTTTTCTTTTCCTATTCCCTTTGACTTATCCAAATCCAACTTTAATGTCCAATCCTCCTCAATTCTATGTACGTATCCAATTGTATATCACTTTTTTGCGGCAGGTTGTATTCCTATTGTAACCACAGCCAGTCGCTGAACAAACCACGAAAATTTAATATTAAATCAAAAAACGACTTTACTAAAAGTCCCTGCTCGGGCGCCAAAATGTAAAGCAACAATAATGTTTGTTGCTGATGCAAAACCAACAACGAGTTTACAACTTTACCTATGTATTTGCCACCTAATGTAAAATTTTAACTCAATTAAGTTGATTAAGTAAATGAAATATTGCAATGTGGGTATCAAATTAAAGAGTTTTAAGAAGGCTTGCAGCCGAGAATATGTATGATTAGGGTTGCCACCTATTACAAAGTTTAACTAAATTACACTGATAAAGTAAATGAAATATTACAATATTGGTATCAAATTAAAGAGCCTTAAGAAAGATACCTGCTGAAAATATTTTTGAGGAGCGTTGCCACCTATTTGAAAATTTTAACTCAGTCAAATTGATAAAATAAATGAAATGTTGCCATGTGGGTGTCAAACCAAAGAGTTTTAAGAAGGCTTACAGTCGAAAATATTTTAAAGGAGGGTTGCCACCTGTTAAAAAATTTAGCGCAATTTAATTGATAAACTAAATGATATATTCTAATATAGATATTAAATTAAAAAGGTTTAAGAAAGATAACTGCTGGAAATATTTTTGAGGAGGGTTGACGCCTATTTTAAAAGTTTTAACTTAGTTAAATTGATAAAGTAAATAAAATATTGCAATGTGGGTATCAAACTAAAGAGTTTAAAGAGGGCTCACAGCCGAAAATATTTTTGAGGAGGGTTACCTATTTGAAAATCTAACTAAATTTAATTGATAAAAAAACGACTTATTACAATATAGGTATCAAATTAAAGAGGTTTAAAACATATAGATGCTGGAAATATTTTTGAGGAAGGTTGCCACCTATTTGAAAATTTTAACTCAGTCAAATTGTTAAAAGAAATGAAATTTTGCAATGTGGGTATTAAACTTTAGGCCTTTAAATAGGATTGTGCAATATGTAAAATTAACTGAAAATATTGAAATTAACTGAAGTATAATAACTGGTTCGAAACGGAAAGTGATTGGGGAAGCTTTACTAGAGATTTTTTTTTAAGTTTCCACTCATCCAAATCCGGACAGTTTAAAAAAGAGAGAATTTACTATATCTTATCAAACAAAGTGATAAGTTGGTGTACAAATTACGCAATGGAAAAAAATTAATAACAAGTTACGGATACAAATGAAGAAATGATAAAAAGCGTAACGAAACCATAAAAATATCCCATGAAATGAAATAATGAAAACTTAAATTTGTTGTAACCATTCCTTTACATTATAAAACAGTTAAATTTGAATCATAAACAATTTCGTTCGGTCGCCATAGCGCCATAGGTCAAAATATAGTGGAGCGGCGAGCGAAGCGAAGAGCTGTCATCGAGCAAAGCTTCAATGAAAACAGTGTATGTACGCTTTGCTCTTCACTATACGCACTCCCATTGAAACATATACATTTGAAATCGACGCTTTGCTCGATGCGAGTAAAGAAATTTCGAATAACATCAGATAATATTATTATGATTATGATTACTATTACTATTGTGAACTCCTGTTATATGCCCAAACAAACATTTCCAAATTAAAGCGAATTGAGAAGGGAATTTACGATCGCATGATGCAAGATAATAAGAGCTGCAGAACTGAACCACTCAGGAACAATTTTTTACAAGGGCGTGTAATTTCTGGCGTATGCCAATGACATCGATATCATCGGTAACAAAAACCTCGAAGTCTGTCCTGCCTTTTCCAAGTTGGATAAAGGAGCACAGCGATTGGGTTTGGTGATCAACGAAGACAAGACGAAGTATCTCCTGTCATCAAACAAAGAGTCAGAGCAGTCCCACCTTGACACCCACATTACTGTTGCCAGTTGTAATATCGAGAAAGTAGCGAATATCGTTTACTTGGGAACCAGCTTTAACACCGATAATAATGTCAGTATGGAAATCCAATGCAGAATCACTCTAGCCAACAAATGCAACTTTGGATTGAATAGGTAATTCGGGGGTAAAGTTCCCTCTCGACGTACAAAAACCACACTCTATAAGTCACTCATCATGCCCGAGCTGTTAAATGGCGCAGAAGCTTAGACAATGATAACATTCGATGAGATGGCTCTTGAAGTATTGGAGAGAAAGATCGTAGGGAAGATTTACAGGCCTCTCCGCGTTGGCGACGGGAGTACCGCATACGATGGAACGATGAGCTGTATGAGCTTTACAACGAAATGGACATAGTGTAGCGAATGAAAATACAGCGGCTCCGCGGGCTTGGCCACGTCGTTCGAATGGGAAGCGACGTTCCAGTTCTGAAAGTATTAAACTCGCAATCCGCTGGTGGTAGCAGAGGAAGAGGGGGAGACCAAGTGGTGAAGAACTTGGCTTCACGTGGCATTTCCCATTGTCGTCAGTCGGCACGGAGAGAAACGACTGGCGTTCTTTGTCGATCTCAGCCAAAATGGCTTAGGCGTTTACAGCGCCAAATAAGAGGAAGAATATGCAAATCGCTAGCTTAGAGTGAAAAGTTGCTAAGTCCACTTTTTATGAAAACTCATATTTTGATATAGGAGGCTAGAGAAATTGAATACGCATCGTTTCGAAAATTATAAAGGTACTTGTTTTATTTTTTCCTCTTCATAAGCCCTAAAAGGAAAATTTGCTAAGTCCAAAAGAGGCACCACAAATCCGATAAGGCCAAAATAATACGACATCTTTTAATAAATATCGAATCCTTCTAATTCTTATGGAGTTTTGCTTTGCTTTAAACGCGCAAAATGTTTTATTCAAAGTCTTACGAAATAGTTAAAGAAAATGGCTATAGGAAGATTTGTTCCTCTCCTGTAAAATTTTTAAAATGGGACTTAGCAACTTTTCTTTCTAAGCTAGCGAAATGATAATTGCCGGAGTTGGGGGACCTTCTTCTTGATGCGCGAGGAGGAACTAGGAAAACATTCCTTATCAGATTGATTATTTATTATTATTATACCTTAGCTATCGCTTCGCCTGGAATTGCTACCAGGTGGAAACATTGCTAATTCAGCTCTTAAGCTGCCATTGAACATATAAATCATCGAAACTCCTACTTGCAATATTTCCAGAACATCCGGTATGGAAAAAGTAGTAAAAAAATTTGAACTAATTATTTGGGATGAGTGCACGATGGCACATAAAAAATTGCTCGAGGTCCTTGATCCATTGTCGCGGGATTTGCATGGAAACGTTCAACCATTCGGGAATATATTGATATTGCACTCAGGAGATTTTACGCAAACCTTGTCTGAAATTTCTTGATTAACACTAGATAAATGCTTGCCTGAAATAGTCAACATTGTGGCAAGACGAACATACATATATACACTGCAGCCGAGGTATTTTCGCCTTCAAGTACTGGACATTGGGCACGGAAAGCTGCCAGCCAACGAGAGATTAAGACGAATTTTATTGCCTTATAGTTTTTCTAACTAAGGAACATCGAAAGGAGAACTGATCGAAAGAATGGTTCTTAATTAAGAAAATTAATTATAGGCTCAGTGAATGAGCTATTCTTGCTGCGAAGAATAAAGATGTCTATCAACTAAATAAGAGTGGTATTGACAACAGTCGTTGCTTGAGCTGGTCTGCTCTTTTACCAGACTGTCAGGCCACTTGCTCACTCACTGCATTCCAAGTCAGGAAATAACTGTTTAGCTGAGGG